GCTGATCAGAGCCGACCACCTGCTTGTGTAGGGTTGTTTGCTCCCATCTGTTTTGCTCATGGCTATTGCTGTTGGACTTTAGCCACTCCTGCATGGCAAGCGGCAAGAGTAACAGATTCTTGTTTCTGGTCTTGTGTTAATGACCATTCTCTGTCAGCGGCAGACCCTGTTTCATTACCCATGTCTTGACTGGATTCCTGGCATTTGCTGTAAGTGGGACTCGACCCAAAGACAACTCAGAGTTTAATGGACAAAGAATATGCCTAAGTGTGTGTTCAGGGTATTTCTTTGCAAAGAACATGTTACACGTATGCACCAATGTCTGCACTTTCATCAAGTTTCTTTCTCTTTTAAGATGATTATTAACAACATATTGGTTTTTGTGCATAAAGGCCACAACCAGGTTGGGCCCTCGTGCTAGATGCTGTACAAATACATCAAGTGTTCAGTTTGGGACCTGAGCCACGTGAGCAGCTGAAAGTAGAACCCAAAGTGGTATATTTGTGTGTCTCTCTGACTTGGTCTCCCCCTACCTGGCTCCCTCATGCAGGAGTTGGTACAATAAGGGCCAACGTTGTCTGCCCCTTAAAAACAAACAATTCCCCTCCCCTTCCTGCAGTGTTTTGTCAGACATGGCAAAATGTTCATTTTATCACATTCATAAGCTTATGAAAAATGTTTGTTTTTATGCACAAATCCCAATCTGATAATTGTGCACGGCACGTCTCAAGGGTGCTGCATTTTGTGTGCATACGTGTTCGTGTCTGTCTCCCTAAATATAGAGCTATACACACACATACAAAAGCTCTCATGTCTATAACTAGATATAAGCAGTTTGTAACATCACTGTCCATAGCTTGACACATACATCCCAACTAGGGATGTGAAAGGTTAACTGGTTAGCATCACCCTTAATGGATGATGCTTAACTGGTTCCAGTTAACTGGTGGGGGCTGGCATGTTGCAGGAAGGGGCTGCTCCAGATTAGGGCTATTAAATTTCAGTTAATTGAATAGTCGATTAACCTGATGAATTCTTATCAGTTACTCAAGCATTCTATAGTCCCCAAGGTGGGGCTGGCAGCTAGTGCACTCCAGCCCCACACCCAAGGAGTCCCCTGCCACTCTGTATCAGAGGGAACGTCTACACTACCCCCAAGATCGATCTAGGGAGGCTAATGAGGGCGACTGGAATTGCAAATCAAGCCCGGGATTTAAATATCCCACACTTGATTTGCATGTTCCCGGCCGGTTGCCATTTTAGAAATTTAATGGCCCGAAGTAACTGCCCGCGTCTACACGCAGCAGTGAAACGGGATTCCGATTTAAAGCCTCTAAATCAAATTAGCTGGTAAACCTCATTGCAAGAGGAATACCAGCTAATTCGAGTTAAGGCTTTAAATCAGAATCCCTGTTTCACTGCCGCGTGTAGACGCGGGCAGTTACTTTGGGCTGACCTCCCAGACCTGGTGCAAGCTGGAACTGAGCCGGACTGCCTGGCTCCTAATACACTTTAAATGCAGAGCCACAGTGGGGTAAGTCCCAGAGCCAGGACTGAGCCAGGCTGGTGGCCAGCCTGTTAAAAAATTTACTGGCCGGG